ATATAGCTTCTTTTAATATTTCCCTTGACGTGAACTTTAATCCTACTGTCAATTTAACATTTTTCATATCAACTTCTTCATTAAAAAATGGATACTTGACCTTTGCTAGTTTTTTTTGTAAACTTTGGACAAGAGTTTCATCCTCATCACTTGCCATTATGGGACCTTCATCACCACTTTTTTTTTGTAAACTTTGGACAAGAGTTTCATCCTCATCACTTGCCATTATGGGACCTTCATCACCACTTGATCTAGGATCTGATTAGTTTCATCCTCATCACTTGCCATTATGGGACCTTCATCACCACTTGATCTAGGATCTGATTCATATCCATCATCATAATTTGTACAAAAATATGGCCATGACTGTTGTTATGGTTCAGTGGTTGATGGCCTTGTTAGACCCTACAGGGGGGGTGATTAGGGTCTTATGCTAATCTAATCCGATTATATGCCAATTAAAACTTATTCAAATATTATTCTTGCAAGATAGATATACAATATGATATGAGCAAGAATATGTAATATGAACAATGAGATATATCCTATATGATGAAATATATATACAAGGATATATAATCACAAGGGTAAACAATCTAAACTAGATAGTGGGCAAAATAATCAACAAGCAATATACAAATGCGATATAAGATATGAACATAAAAGAAATGCGCCAATGCAATCACAAACAAACAATATGATTACAGAGTTCGGTCCTCACGACCTACGTCTCCGCTCCTCACCTCAAGGAGATCTCCACTATCACAACCGGGTTTTCTACGTTTACCCGAACAACGTTTACACCTCACAATACGATTTTCTAGTTTATCGAAAACTCTACAACTTACACACTCTTGCAATCCCACTCTACACCCTCTTAAGTGTTGAACTAGACGTGTCTCTCTCAAGTGCTCGGTTACAACCTCTCCCTAGGTTCGTCAACCGATGTCATTCCTCTTGGGACGATCCCCGACTCTCGCCACACACTTCTCTCGGTGTACAAGTGTATTACAAAGTGATCTCAAAATAAGCACAATTATAGTAATGGATGTTCTCTACAATTGATGAGAACTCAATGAATTCCAATATCACTAAATCACACACTACTATCCAACAATATATTGTATGAAACACTATAAGCTCAAATGTGGATAAGTGTGATAAAAGAGAATAAATGAAATCTAACTCAATCAACAAGCTAGCAATAATAATGTATAAATAATCAAGGACAAATTGCTAGAGAATAGAGTTTAGAAAACTTCTCTATAAAACACAAGAGAGGTTGAAGAAGATTGAGGATGAATTCATCAATTTGAAGAGCAAGCCACCTCTTGTTAAACCAAACTAAAACTCTTAAACAAACTTTGATAATCTTTTAAACTTTTGTTAAAAAACACATGAAAGCTATGTTTTCTGAAGAAGACATTGGGGGGTTTATATAGGAAGAGAAAATAGTGCACAAAACCCAATGAAGACCAACAAAATATCCCAAAAATCAAGAACCAGATTTTTCTCAGAACTAGCCCTTGGAGAGCTTATCAGTCGACTGACGGGCGGCGCCAGTCGACTGATGAGCTGGTCGTTAAGTTCAAATGCCAGCTTTTCAGTCGACTGATGAAAACTAATCAGTCGACTGACATGGTCAGTCGACACATCAGTCGACTAAAATGGAGTAGGGGCTAAATGAAGATTCTAGCCATATTTTTTAGTCGACACATCAGTCGACTGATCATAAAAAATCTGCCAGAATCAGTTCTGAATATGATTTTTAAAGCTCTGTTAAAAATAGCAAATAATTTCCAAAAAATGTAAAACTTTGGGGAAAGTTTATGAACATGAATATGAACATGTTGGAAAAGGAATTTTTTAAATAGCTCTTCCCATTTGTAAAAACATTTGAATATGCAAAAAGGCTAAAATACATGTTTTTCAAAACATGTTGTTTTTGTCATTTTGGTTCAAATCAACAATTGAAGGCTTGTATATACTTTACATGGGCATAGTAAAGGATATTAACATAGTTTATATGACCCAAGACATATTTGCATGTATTTTGCATAAAAACCCTTGTTTTAATGAAAAATTCATAAATGATGTATGTGTGTGTATTTGAGCTCATAGAATGGCACACAACATATGAACATATACTAAGTATACCAAGAAGAATTCTTCTGAAGCCTGGGCTTGAATTGACTAGAGATGTGCATGGCTTAAGAAGAATTCTTCTGAAGCCTGGGCTTGAATTGACTAGAGATGTGCATGGCTTCAATAAATGAGTTGTAGGTCAAATTCTTGTATATACCTGGGCTTGAATTGACTAGAGATGTGCATGGCTTCAATAAATGAGTTGTAGGTCAAATTCTTGTATATACATGTATATGCTAAAACAACACTGAATAAGATACTAAAAACAAGATCAGTGGTAAATTGTTTGTTAAAGCATCATCAAAACAAGAGGACTCAACAGGCCTAGGTTCATCAACTGTGTTGTCATCTCTTGAATGCACTCCTTCATGAGGTGATGTTGATACATTAGCATTAACCACTCGAGGGGGTCTGATAGTGTTAAAACTCATGGAGTTACCTGCATCAACACCCTCTCCCAGTACTGCACTAGAGTTTAAAGCAATGTTGCCCATCTCTTGACTTAGAATCTCCTTATTGCATTGCCTAATCTCATTCAATTCCTCTTCTTCACTACATATAGCAGCTTGAAAGGAATCATCACTGTGGGCACCGTCATCCTCATTCACTGCCTCCCTATCTTCCTGGCCTGGTTCAGGCACACTCTCATTGCCCTCCACATTCACTACCTCCCTAGGTTCATTATTTGGTTCAAGTACACTCTCATTGCCCTCCACATTCACTGTCTCCCTAGGTTCATTATTTGGTTCAGGCACACTCTCATTACCCTCCACATTCACTGTAGACACCATCATCCTCTTTCTCTTGCACAATCTTCTTTTTATCCCTTGCCATTATTGCTAAACTCATCCAATAGTTCATATTCATCAAAGTCATCATCTACAAATACCTCCCTAGGATCAATTCTGTAATTCTCATCCTCTATAGAGTCGTCACTATCACTAGGTGGACTTGACTACTGTTGTGCACTTAACAGTTCATCTAAAGAGGTTGAGGCAGTTGTTACTTGTTGTGGCAGGGTTTTACTGGAGGTTAACAGCTTGGTTGCCCTCCTGGGTGTTAGTTTCTTCCTGGATGTTGAAGGATATGTTACCTTCCTCTTGGGTATTGCTTTCCTGGGTGTTCATTTCTCATTGGCACTAGCAGTAGCTTTCCTGGGTGTTGATCTCCTGGGTGTTGCTACTATCCCCTTCTTTTTAGGAGTGGTCTCTTGTTGCATTTGCACATCTTCTTGTGCTTCAACTGGTTGAGTCTGTGATTCATAAATTGGTTGACTCACACCTTCTAACAACAGCACATCACAGTCTTTCATAATAACTTCTGCAGGTTCATCAATGGCATGATCAACATAGATTTTTAATTGCCTTCACCCTTTCCGCATGTTCTAATATTTTAATTAAGGAACCTTCATCATTTAGAGACCTCAATCCACCATTTGCAACCCTTACACAAGGAACACAGTAGAACAAGCCGTTGACATTGTTATACCTAATCACACTAACCTCATCCATCAGTCTTTCTATGCTCAGATCCTCTTTGTCTATAAACCAAACATCAAATCTACCACCAACATAATCTTCAACCCAGCCCATCAGAAAACTTCCTCCATGTCTGATTTTAACCAAGATTTGGAGACCCATCTGCAATATCATAATAAAAAACCCTAATTTACACTAAACCCATCAAATCTACCCTAATTAGTTCAAAAATATGAAAATTTCACTCACCTTTTCCGTCGCACCAAAGACGATGAAGTAGATGGAAGCCTTGAACTTGGATCGTCTGCAATTTGGGGATCGTCACACTCTGGGGTTCTACGGTTTTCTTCTGCAATTTGGGAAAGAGAGGGAAATTAAAGAATGGGAGGGAATTATTTCTCTTCTGCGATTTTTTACAGAAACCGCTCGCTTCTTCCCGCTAAATACCGCCACACTGGAGTTCAAGTTACGGCCACATCAGAGTCACGTGAGTTATCGCGTGAGAATACTGGCCGAAAAAATGACTTCGGCCAAACTTAAGGGTTATATGGCACCGGAGTCTATAAAATACCAATTTGTCAAAAAAATATACCAACATGTCACCAAGTGTCTACAAAATATACTAATTTTAG